CATGTAAAATTGCTGATGCTGAGAAGTCTGGTTTGTACCTGTTGCACCTACTCATCTTCGTGGATTTGAGTTTGTTGTTGCAATGTTGCAATTCAGGGACGCGCAAATCTAAATTTATCACAAGCATAAACAAGACGCGTTTAGTACGCACAAAAGCCTTCAAATCTTAGTAAAAGTTGTCAGTGTTTGCATTCAGAAAGTCTGAAAGTGTTCAAGCAAAAGAATTGCGATATAATTTTGTGCCATATAAGGAAATCACGTGATGATAATCAAAAGTTACATTGACTTTACAAACTGAGCAATTTATTATGATTGACATCCATGCAGGGACTTGCAAATGACTTGTTTTAACTATATTAAAATATGATTACTCTAAACAGAGCAATTAATACAGAAAGGAAAAAGTGTTTATATAAGTCTTACCTTGTGTAACAGGATTCAGCTATATTTTGGGAATATCAGTGTGTTAAAAAAAACCTGGAAATTACAAACGAGTCATTAAAAGTTCAAACAGTGCTTAGTTTCCTAGATGCTGGTGCTTAGAAATAAAGGAAAGATATTCTGTTATACCGATAGGTATCTGGTAAAACAAAAGATTGGTTGACTACTTGACAGGATTAAAATAGTTTTTAAAAAATGCTGACATCAGCAAGTTTCTGTTCTATAACTGGCGGATATCTAAATCAGTTTATCTGAATAAAAAGTGCATAGAAAACACTAGCAATATCTATATGAAATAATGTGTAGGCTGTAAGTAATAACTTCTGCAAAATATAAATTTAAGACAAATCTAAAATGTACGAAAAACACTACCCCTTACCTCTACTCGTGTAAAAAAATTGCCCATGTTATCAGTTCTTGGGAGTTTTTTTGGTAAATCTACAAAAAAAAATGCCTATCTTTTGATACCAAACTTGTTAATGTACTATTTACTTCCCGGTTCGGCCTGTTTCAGGGCTAAATCCACTGGACTAATACAAAATGTATTTCCTATTGCACATTATATTGCCCATTGGAAAATCCCACATATTGAATGAAAGGGAAAAAAATGGAACTTGTTGATGTAGTGATGACGTTACTGCCTGACACCTTCTTTATATCCTGTGATACTTACGTAAATTTTCCAAGATTCTTATATTCTGTTCTGATAATCTCTTCAACGAGATTTCTTTTTGGGTTTTCAAAAAATACAATAAACAAAAATGAAATGGAATTCGCTATAAAAGTTCAAAAACATTAATTACACAACTTGAATACATGAACGAGTACACGTGTGCGTGAGCGTTGATATTTCGGAATGTGTAGTCATTGTTCTCATGTAACCTGCATACAGAAATCGTATCAGCTGTAACGTGACTCAAGATCAACATAATGATGGACTTATGAATATTTATGAAATTACTCATAAAATCTTATAGCCTAAAGGTCAACGACCAACATCTTGTTCCAGAAACCTCAATGGGCAGCTTGTCTGTTAGACCGCCGTTACAAATTCTAACTCAAAGTTGTTGTGTTTCCTTAGCGCAGTAAAGTGTCAGTGTTTCGTCACGTGATCTGTATAAAGGTCATAGAAAGTTTTACGATACAAACACATATAAAATGGTCTAGAACGTTTCAATGACCGCCCGGGAACACTTTAGGAGAACGAAGAGATTTGACTTGAAACAGGAGATTTAGTGTAGATAAAGCCCGGCAATGGAACATTGTGATAGGTCCATAATCACTAGATGATTTTAATGGCATAAAGGTCCTCCTCAATAAAATGTCTCAGTCTTCGTCTTTGACATGTTATCTCGTTGGGTTTTATCTTGTAATACATTTGAGCAAAATGTTTTGTAAGAATATTAATTTTTATTTGGAAGGTGTAGATGTAGATGTTATCAGAAGGTCATGTCATATTACCACCGTGACGATAGTTACTTTCGAGATCTCAGTGACTTGCGTATTCCCGAGCGAGCTTCGAGAGGTGATTAACCACCATAAACACCGTATCCTGTATCATTGGAAACTTGTATAGAGTGTAATTGTATATTAGGTCACCATCTATAAAGCAAAACAATCATATCACCCAATTAAAAATGATCTCACCTCAAACAGTGATGTTAGCACAAGATAAGCGTCAACTTATGAACTCAATATAGACTGGTCACGAGGTACATCACTTACAATAAAAAAACGACAGAAAGATTAGATTACATATCAGTGTACACTGTTGCTATTGTGAAGACATCATTCATTCTGAACGGGCATAGGACCAAAGGTTTCAAGGAGCTAACAAAATGGGGTCCAAATGCAGGGAGATATTTTGGGAGCTATGGTCATTTTTGGACATATTTGTGATTATTTTAGTTCCCATTTTATGTCTGCCGTTGATTATCATCATCCCGACTTCGGTGAGTAACACGTTAATCTTCGGTTACTGATTATATTATTAGTCTTCGGGTAGAAGTTCAACTTGTGATGTGTAAAGATAGACATCGTGCGATTTGTCAACGAGTAGCCCCGCACTTAGTAATGGGGTGTCTTTATGAAGGCGGACAGCTGTTGATTCCGAAAAGTTGACATTATCCGCGAAATGTCGCGTTCAGGTGTACCCAAAGATGTATAGTACATTCTGTCTACATGCTAGATTCATAATTGAATGGCGTCTAACCACAGGGGACGCGAAGCTGTTGGTCCCGTTTACATTATTGTTGTTCTTGTTCTAAATGTACGTAAACAAACACAGCAAATAATTGTCGTGACAAGTATCGGATTGCTGCAAGAGAAGGGGTCGCTGACTTTAAATAAATAAATTTAAATTAATTTTACAACATTCGTAATAAACAACAACATTGGCGTGTCTCATGACACCATTTGATGTTTTGAGTATACGCCCAATTTATCAAATCCTGTTATTCTAAAATTTAACTGATGTCAAAATATAACATTCCAGCAACTGTTAAGAAATTCACTGTAGTTTGTACTTTGAACGGAATTTAGGGGTCAAGGTGAAGTGTAAAACAGATAAAGAAAGACATACCTGTACGAACATACAACTATGTTATTGTTTTATTGTATGAGGGGAGGCAAGGGGGTAGCTGGTACGGTTTTACGGGAAATAAAAAGGGCTTTTTACAATTTACAAGGAAAAAAAGACGTTTTTACAGTTTACAGTGTTAAAAAAAGGAACATTGAATGGTTTCTATAATGTAATTTCCCTGGATTATTATTTACGATTTTTTTATTTGCATGTAAATTCTTGTACGTACCGAGAAAAATGACACATTTTTACAGTGTACGAAAAAAATACTTGATCGATTACGTTGTACGTCTAGCCTGTGATTACAGAATTACGGAATTTATTTTTTCAATTTACGTAGTACGAACAAAAAATATTGCAATTACGTTGAACGAAAATAACCCTTGCCCCCACCCCCCTCTTGTATTTGTTGTACACGTCAGAATTTCAAATACTTGAGTTATGGGCAAATAAATAGTGTAATGTCGTGAAAGTGTAATCTTGATTGTGTATGTTTTTTGTCGTCGTATATCATATCGCCTCTATGATTTGCCGATATGTTTACTAGGGGTGTGGTGGACGTTTACTTGTTAATCAACAATAGTGGAAGTCAATTCCGTGCATACATTATA